AAAAAAAAAAAAAAAAAAAAAAAAAAAAATGAAGGGCTGAGATTGGAAGTTGGAGGATTGTGAGGCTGAGGTTGATTTGGTATTCATTGGCCAATGAAATTGGAGTTATTGGTACGAGTTATGAGAGAGAGAGGAGGAGGCTAGGCTATGCGTTCAAATCATGCATTCATTATAGGAATTTCTTTGTTGGGTAATGACTTAAATGGGGTGGGGATCTTGATTCTGACTTCATAAAGATATTTTTAATAGCGTTTGAGGTCTACAATTCTTGCTCATCATTGTTCTTTCTCCAACTATATCTAATAATTATATTTCAAAATGTAAATAAATTTGGATTCATATTATGAATAGTGTTACAATCGCACTCTTACGATAGTGGGTCAACAATTGGGTCACATTTGTTCCAACTATGTGAAATTTAGACTTCACGGATATTATCGACGTATGTTCGAGTCTCGTATCACGTTTGAGAGAAATGTTTTAGAAAATGTAAGCGAGTAAATAGGTTGAAAATAATTTTAAAGAGAGTAATGTTATAAGTTAAAAGTGAATAAGTAACAATAACGACTTTGATGACATATAATTCGGGTATAAAAAATTGACAACTAGTCACATTTTTTATAGTACATTTTTTTGGCATTTTAGCTTTGATGGGTGTAGACATGATTTTGGTGACCGGTTATACATCCATATATTGACACAACAATAATAGTAAAAGTCTATCTTACATGAAAGCAATTAAAAAGAGATTTGGAACGAGCATGCGTCATGGATAAGCATGACAGAGGCAACTAGCGTGTTTTCTTTTAATCAAGTTTTATATGTATTCTTTTAGAAACGATATATCAAGTTTATAATCGTGTCTAAGTGGTTGGATAGTGAAATAATTTAACAATTTAAATAGTTAAATATGTGAACCAACATTTTAGTTTATGTTCGGGAGTAATTTTTAATAATATATATATATATATATATATATATATATATATATATATATATATTTTGTAAAGTTAAAAATCATTCTCAAACATATTTATAATCATTTAAATTTATTTATTTTTTATTTTACATTTCTAAATTGATTTTACAAAATTAAAATATGATTTAAAATAATTTTAACAAGTTGAAAGTTATTTGGGGTAAATCACTAAGCACATTGTACCAACCTCGAAATGATAAATTGGGTAAAAGAGGGAAAAAGACGTTTTTGTCCAAGTACATATGAAAACTAGAAGAAAGAAGGAAAGGAAATGGAGGGGCATGATGGGATGGATGGGGGTTGAGGACACCGACATGTGTCTCACACGAACGGAAAGCAAGACAGCCACTACTGAGACGCTTCACCCAATTCAAATTCTATTATTAATTATTTCATTTTAAATAATAATACAAATTATTGTTTTTCTTGTGATATATATATCTTTATATTGGTACTTATATAGAAGTCATGACATTTAACAATTCAATTTTTCACTTTTTTTTTTAGTGTCTTTTAATACTATTTAAGGTGTTACATTATTTTAATTTCTTTTAAAAATTTTAAATTTTTAAATTTTTAAAAATTTGAACTTTTAAAATATCGTGTTCTATCACGTGACATAAATAACCCCGTGACTATAAACTCGTCAATTTAAGCACCATAGAATTAGAAAACAAAAAACTAAGAGCCAAATAATTTTCAAGCGGAAACGAAAACTAAAATACAACGTGAAAATGGCAAAATAGAACTCAAACATGCAGCACTCTACACGAGCTCATCTCGAAATATTTAGCTTAGCAGCTAAACACACGCCGTCGTCGTCATCATCCTATGCTAGCTACCACGCACGCAATTAAAACATAGCTCAACGTATTCCTAAATGATTAAGGAAGCATATGAAATACCATTCATTCTCATAAACCTAAAGAAAGCTCAACAAGTTCCATGTCTTCAACATAACCGCCACTAAGCTTTACAAATAACGCTCCCTCTCAAGAACACAATGAAGATCATCAACAAATTCAACTCAATGAAAGTGTGTTTGCTTAAAACAGGCTCTCAAACTACAAAGGAGAAACCATTGATCTTGAATTTTGGGCAGCTACCATTCCAATTATTTACACTACCACACTACTTTCAAACAATGGGGCGTAGAGATCTACTACCTGACTGAAGCAATGTGCAGTAGTACTTGAAAGGGAAACTAGTTTAGAGTAGCTGAAAGATGGAGAGTTTTAAGCTCGAGGATAGCGTGACCGACCTTTCTTCTTCAAGAACTCGGGGATTTCAACAAGACCACCATCAGCGAAATGACTTTGATTTACTCTATACGTCGTTTCTCCCCGTGCTGGCTGACTTACCTGCACGTAGACACAGACCATAAGACATAAACTACTGGCGTGGAAAATGGTAGCAGATTTCAAGTGATTTCAACTCTCAAGCTTTGTGAAAAGGTTGAAGCATGGCTTGGCTGGGTTGGTTTTCTACAAACAGAGGCATGTGTACCTGGAAGGGCCTCCCATCACTGTCTTCTTGGCGTTTAAACCCAGTAGCTATCAGAGTTATGCTAACCTGAAGAAAAGAAGTTGTGTCGTTTGGCTTCGTTGTTGTTGACATTATACAACGTATAATCGAATCTAACCAATATATTTGTAAACTAACAAATAATCGTTCGGTAGTTTTTTCTTGTTTTGAATGCATTAACATCTACAATTGATATTCATTAACATAGAATTATTCACGCAAAACCAATATCATCTAGAACTTGCTGGGCAGAAAAAATGTCAGCAGAAATTAAGAGAACTGCATATGTCATAACTAACCAGAATTTTCAACAACTTACTTGTCCACTGATTGATGGATCTATAACTGCTCCAAATATTAGATTGGCAGATGGATCTACAAGATCATATATGACCTCTGCAGCAGCATTTACCTGTGTGATCAGCACATTTGTAAATAAAACTAACAGGCGAAGCATACCAAAACTTACTGAACTGCATCGCTTTCTACTATCTTTGTAAGTTTGGTTTCAGTTATTTTTGTGGTTAGCTTTTGTTGAGCATTCATTCCCTTAATAAAATAAGAAAAAAAAAGGAAAAGAAAAACTACGAGCACCGAGTTTTAAGACTCGATCTTATATGTTGGTTCGGGGTTCGTTTCAGCCAAAAGCAATCCAAACTAACCTACTTACAGCTCCTCGGACGATGCAATATCATCATAAAGTTTTGCAATTTGAGAATAAGACTATTTGTAGTGCCCCATAAATTATAGAAGATAAAAGGATATCGAGAGGCTTCTTTATTAGTTTTAGGCAGTGGATGAAGTTCATCCATTCTATTCACTGATACGAACTAAACATTAGACAGGAAAAGAAAAAAGAAAAAACAAAGAGATGAATTCATACCTCAAATAAGGTCAGATCAGTCCCTCCGGTAATGTTCCATACAATACCAGTGGCCCTCTCTATACCAATATCAAGTAATGGAGATTGGATGGCATTTAAAGCAGCATCTCTTGCCCTACTCTTCCCTACACCAATATAGAAAATAGGCAGAAATATGATCTTATGTCCAGGGAAAATAAACTAAACATGCAGGCATCACAAGACGGACATTCCCTACGCCTTTTTGCAGCTTTGTGGTTCATCTTTTTTGGATAACCCGAGTATCAAAGGTCTAACTCTTTGTATAACACTCATGGTTCGCTAATCTTTAGGATGGCTTAGTCCATCCCAAAGCTCGTTCTAAGAAACAACAAGAGTTCTGAGTTATTAAATTTTTGACGTGGAGATTAACATGAGAACCTTGAAGAATATCTCCAATCCAAACATCCCAAGCCCTTGCCACTTGATGATTTTAGCTGACTTCGCAGTAACAACACTCTCCTTGAATAATAGTCATTAGAAGCTACAAGCTTGACCATTTGACCTTATTATATTTGGTTATTAAGAAAACTTGTAGGATATTATATCTCGATTTACATGGGCACCACGGATTGAACCTATTACCTCTATGCCCTTTGTTTTTTTTTTTTCAATGACCTCGAGGCCAATTCACGGTCATTTGAAAAATGACATTTTCAAAACAACAATTGCATCATTACTCATTGCAATAATAACATGAAGTCTACAGTCAAAAGTAAAGGAAACTGGCTATCTAAGCCTTCAAATACTAAGGTTTTTTTTTTTTTTTTTTTTTTTTTTGC